ATCACGTCGGACCATACGATTTCAAACATTTCTATACGGACTCCCGACTTTACAGGAATCACTTCCCAAATTAAAGCCAAGATGGCGAGTGACTATTCGGACTCCATGACCAAGGTCGTTGCTGAACTTGGTCATGTGGTGGTGGATGTGTCCTTGTCTAACGGCCTCTCCCTACTCTCAGCAGCACTCAGTTCAATTCAGTCTCGTCGAGGAGAGGCTGAGACCATCCTGTATCGGCTTGCAGAGCTCAATCCTGAAGTGGGAGCCCAATTTCAACCAAAGGAGGATCTCTTCGCGGAGCTGCAGTTGCGCGTGATTTCGACGCAACGACCATCTTCTGGGGAAATATCGTCCTTCATCGTAGTGAGCTATTGTTGGCACTACCCGGAGTGGAAGATGGCTGAGGCGGCACACCCAATAGCTCCTGGATGGGAGGTTTCATTGCCCATGATCGAGGCAGTAATGGGCCTGCGAAGCGACCCAGATGAGGGCGTCTGGCTGGACAAACTTTGCATCAACCAGGAAGATACGAGGGAGAAGAAGGTGCATATCGGGGCTATGGATACCATATACCGTTCTGCACGGCGTGTGATTATCCTACTGGAGGACGTCCAATTCACCGAGGAGGAAGAGAAGGCAGGTCTTGTATATGCGGGTTTCTACCAAGACCTCACTCGTGAGGTTGTGGGAGTCGAGGACAAGCGCACGTTCATGAGGGAATATTTTCCCCGTCGGGAGAAGGAGCTTCAATCTGAGACAGGCACAGATATATCGGCAGCTGCGAGCCGATTCTGCTCTAGGGTCCTCGGTGGCCGTTGGTTTTCTCGAGCCTGGTGCGCGCACGAGAGCCGAGTAGCACCGCATATGAAGATAAACAACCCCCTTTTCTTATGTTACGGCTATGATGGACGAGTCTTACCGTTTGAGTTCCGCTGCATCAACTACATTTCCATGTATCTATGTGATTCGGAGCCACAGGTTCAAAGAACCGGGACGGAAATCAGCGATGCCATGAACGATCCAGAGCCGGAGTCCCTGCAGCAGCGTTGGTGGAGGATTTTGCGTCTCGTTCCAGAGAGCCTTTCCGATATCTCTATGATGCAGCATTTGGTCAGCATTCTTTCATTCCAATGCTGTCACAAGCAGGATTTGATTGCAATTGCGCTAAACACCTCTGGTATCCCCTTGTCTTTTACGGGGAACCTTTCAGCCGTGGAAGACATCATCTGGACGTTTTCCATCCTGGTGCTGGCCTGCAACGACATGACGCCATTCTTCATGGATGGGACCAAGCTAAGAATTAGGAATGCTTCCAATGATGCATTTCAAGTCTCATGGGTGGTTCGTCCGTTGCAGGGTGTTGTTGACCATATCCCTGAAAGTACAACCACGCCGTTCCCGCAATCAATTACTGGAGCCACGCAGGACTATGTCGAGCTCGATCTTCTTGTTTTTAATGAGCCGCCAAGGGCAGCTACCAGTGAATCTCTACAATTAGCATCCAAAATTGTAGAAGAGTATCACCTGCTGGACTATAGTAAGGAGCTTCTGGCCGCGGCTGACGAAACCATTCAAAACAGTGTCGGGTTGGTAAAGGGTGAATTCGAGCGAGCTGGGGGCAATGCTGGAGTACTGGAGAGGCTTGTCCCCCTTTGGATTGCTATTGCCCTCGACTGTGGTCTTGAATGGACGCTTCGATTTCCAGAACTTATGCGCGAAGCTACTCAAGAGACATGGCTTCATGGCACATTAGGGGATGCCACGGATCCCCGATTGACAGAAGCATCCAAGTCACTTCTCGCTCATTTTCCCGCTTCTGAAGATAATCCGGACAAGGAGACCATCGACATTCAACGATTGGTCAAATCCTTCACATGCCTTTTGGACCCTCGACTTGTTCTTTTAACCGCAGGCCCACGATACTTAGCGACTGGACGGGGAGATTTCGGCATCATCCAGGCGATAAGCAACAGATCATGGGTAGCTGTTCCTGTTGCAATAGCGCATCTGCCAGCTTGGGTGCCACGGGCTTGGGTTATTGAGCCGTTTGATCCATCATCTGAGCCTGAAAATCCTCATGACCACCTTGTGGACCTGGAGAAGAAGGTGGATGTTGATGCAAAGCCTGAAGACGTATATCCGATCCTTACCTCGGACTCCAAGGACTTGAGAGAGCAGCCAAATGAGAAAGGGACTTGGCGACTGCGGAAGCGACACATACTGTTTGGCAGTAGACCTTGGAACACACTGCCCGCGGTTGATAATAGTTCGGGTATACTGCTGAGGAAACAGCGAGTCTATGGTTCAGAAGATTATGACTGGAAGGCGATTCATTCCGCCATTAGGAAGTTTGAATCTATGCATCCGCCCCAAGCTTAATACGAAGAACGGATTTTTGTATAGGCGTATTGACGGGAAATTTGTCCTCTTATTGGTAATTTGTCGCCTGGAACTTAGTGCAGCCAGGCATATTTTGGGTCTTCGTTGCCAAAGAATTTTGTTAATTATTTATTTCTCTCCACATGTCAGATATTCTCTGTTACTAGTCCAATAGCCTGAATGTCTCATGACTCAATTGAAATTCTGAGTTTAGTACAAGATAAGGAGCGAAGTTACGTTTGAGCTTCAAGATACTAAGCTTTTGCACTGGCTTGGTTTGGGCGCTTCTCAGATCAAGGAAAGTGATTTATAATGTCTTGAAGTAACTTTACGGTGACTATGCTTCGATAGCATTTCTTATTGTAGTTTATTTTATTGTGTTGTTCAAGATTGGACGCATTTCTATTGAAGCTATCTTCTCTGGTCCCTTCCTCTCTTCGTGTCAATGCCACCTTTATGGACCGAGAACTGCTAATGCACATACAAGCGGCTGCTAATACGATAAACCAGGCTCCCTACTTGTTCTAGCCTTTTTTAAAACTCTCGTATTCATTATCTTGAGATGTCGGGTTCTAAACATCTTATATTGTTGCTTTTAACTTTACACTCAAACTCTCCCGTATGCCCAAGCAGCATAAAGTATCACATTGCCTAGCTGTCTGATATCCTGTACTTCGATTGATAATTTGCTCACTCAAAATCGCAGCCGTGTTGGATCAATCATTTCGCGTTGGAAAGAACGAAACAACATGAAAGCTGCTGTTGTTCTCTTGTGCACAGTCCGTGGACTATTGGCCATGCCCGCTCTCATGGAGCATGACCCGCTCCCTGGAGTCGAATTACCGGCGTCAGCTATGGATCTGATCCCTAAAGAAACTCATCCGGGCAGTCCTACAAAGCATGAATGCACGCTAAGCACGATTCTACGTTTGCAATGTCACCGCGAATTATACCTACAAATCTAACATGTCTTATCGCGCCTTAGATCAACGAGGTCTGGACTGACTGCGGCACATGTCAGGGATCATGTGATAAACCCACCCCTGGCTTGTGTTCTGATAGCTGTTTTGTTGGGTGCGAGTGCAAACCTGGCTTCCTTAGGAGTAGGGTAATTACATTGCGAAGCCTCTCCCTCGGTATCAACACAAACAAGTGTACTGACTCCAATGCAGTCTGGAAGTTGTGTGACACCTTCAGGATGTCTCCGAGATCTTTGGGGGGGGAAACACTGGTCTGAATAATTAAACTTCTTATCACAACGACGCATGGCATGCTCTTTGGAACGAACAACATAGTCGTATGTCCTCACTCAAGATTTAACTTTTTCGTAATGAACCTACAATAAAACGACTCTGTCAGGAGTTGTCTGATTTGAAATAGCCTTTGTATCAATGGCAAATCCGTGCTGAAATAGATCTCCTTGCATCCTTCTAGAAAGAAGTAACATGTTGCAATACTAGAGCTCCAAATGCTGCTTCTAGGGTAGCTTACAATCAAGGGTTAATCCAAAAGCCCAATGGATTTAGGGACTGGAATATCGGTTTATGTTCTTCTACATGCTTCCAGTTCATGAAGAGCTTAAATTCTCGTATTTAGGCTCTCGGTAAGACTTAATAATGTGAAAAAGAGAGTCTGAACGCCACCACAAAAACCATACTCTGCCGCAGCTACAGTCCCTGACTCTGCAATCAACTCCCTTCCCGCCACTACGATCAACTCTTCCTCGGCTGGTACCCCTGCGTACTAGAATCATAATTGTGATGAAATAATTGACCAATACGTGATAGATGTCTGGAGCGACTGCATTTCAGAAAAAAAATTGTAAAGTTACCCCTGAAAGTTTGCATGAAATTGGACTGCCAACATAAGCTTTCTCCACCCGCTTGCACTGCCCTGAAGCTTGTCCAACTTGGAAGGTCAAGCAGTATTACTATTGCAAACAAATACAGGCACGATATGCGATAATCATGAACGAACCTGGCTCGCGAGTTGGTGTCTCGAGCGCTGATGAGGAGCGCTGCTTTATTTAAACTTATTATCAGCGCCCCATGGGAGGATGTAGACAAGCCGAAAGAGAAGCAAAAAGGAGAAGAGGCTGAGGGAACAGATATCTCCGCTGTTGCCTCAGTAAGGCAAGCTGCGTATGCTCAGTTGTGACATTACCCCAACGGCTCAGCCTACCCGCCATCAGTGTACACGTGCACATGTATGGAGTTCAGTACCCCACGAGTTCCGAAGAATAATTAGTTGGTGCTTCTCTCGCTTGTTGCTTGTGTCCGGAGATGATGCGGCAGCAAATTCAACAGCAGACGCCCGCTTCCGAACTCCCGCTTCCGGAATCCTGCTTCCGGAGTGCGGCTTCCGTTCATCACCACGGAAGGCGTACCATTGAGTGGAGTTCCTCAGATTCAGGTTATTGCAGGGTGGAGGAGAGAAATCTTAGTGATCAAGGTGACAGTTTCGCCATATTTTCCTACGAGTTGGAAGAGCGAGTCTATGTGCTCCACGACTGAGCACTAGCAGTATGAAAGGGGCACAATATTTCGAGGGGAGAGTTGTGTTTATCTTGTGTTAAGGACTATCCGCGAAAAATCCCCTGGTTCTGTTTTGTCCGCCTAGGCTCAGGTGCTGGCAGTACACGCCTGGCCTGTCCCCGCATCAATGAAACCGGCATCTACATACTCCTCATAATTCCAGTATTCAGCCTGCGTACCCTCACCATTCACTGGGACATTGCCGCGAAACTTCCAGGTCCAGAAGCTGCTGCCCCGTGTATATTGCGCCCATGCTTTCAAGCCCGTGTTCAAGTTCCGTGGTCTACTGGCAAGCGTGTTGTTGGACGCAGCCTCGATGGACCACTCACCCACGAAGACGGGAAAGCGATCGTCAGCTGCGTTCTGCGCGTCCTCGCAGAGGAACTGGGGAAGGTTAGCCGAGGTGGTCGGGCGCCCGGCAAAGTAGTAGTTGTGTACGTCGAAGACGATGTTGTCCGTATCCGCGAAGCTCGGCGACCAGAAGGAGACGGGTCTGAAGGAGCCCTGCAGCATGACGGGGGTGTTTGCATTGGCTGCCTGCACACGTGCGAGAACCCCGCGGAAGTACGACAGAACCCAAGTCGCACCTGCGTCTGTCAGGGCCTCGGGGAAGCCGAACGCAGCAGGGTTGTCGACGGGCTCGTTGAGAGGCTGCAGCGTGAACTTGTCAGGGAAATCCGACTCTTGAATGAACTTTATGGCGGCGTCAACAGCCTTATATGAATAGTCCAGTGCCGTCTGGTTGTTGAACCAGTCATGCCGACCCTCTCGTCCGCCGAGACCGAGATTGTTGACACCGCCGGGAAGGGAGTGGATGTCGACGATAATGTGTATGCCGTACTGCCGGATAGCATAGTCGGAGATGGCCCGCAGGAACCGCGTCTGCGAGCCTGTGTAAAGGGGTGAGCCGGGAACCTGAACCCAGGCGTTGTAGCCCGTGGGGATTCGCAGCACGTTAATCCCGGCGGCGGCCATCTTGTCGATATCTGTGGTGGTGATGAATGAGGAATACCGCTGCTCGAGGCGAGGGCCACACTGGCTACCAAGGTTGGCGCACCAGTCCCATTCGTCGAGAAGACCAGCACCTCCGTTGGCGTCCCACCAGACGGGGTCGATGACCTGCTCTTGATGAAGCCATCCGCCGAGATTGACACCATTGGCTTTGAAAGTAGACCAGTCGAGATAGGCAGCCCTGTTGCTGTTGGTGGGCGGTGCGGCTTCAGCGGCCAAGGCGGTGACGAGGGTCAAAGTAAAATGAGTGAACCGCATGGTGGGTGGCCGTTGGTGATGAGATCGTTGAGAGGATGATGAATGGATTCACGAAGGCACGGCAGACTTGGCTTTATATGTGCTTGAAGTCGGTGTGTTTGAACATATGTGGCTCGGTCTTCGGTGGAATAGCTTGCATCCCCCTCTCCTCGGTCTTCAACTGACATGCGGGGCATGATCTTGGAGGATCTTGGAGACTTGCGTGACTTCGTGGGGTGCATTTGCTTGGAATGTGGGATCGACCTGCCAAGAAAATGCTGGGTTGAGACGCCGGTGAGTCTTCAACTCCCGAGATGCCTCCACCTTACGAAGATTATGCGAAGGCAGAGCCAGAGTTGGCAGCAGGAATGCTTGGCCTCCGTATCAAAAATAATTGCCATCTGTTAATTAATTTGTCCTTGTGAGATCACGGCTCCATGAAGGCCAAGTTTAGTTTCGTCCAGTTGCGCTGGTGCAGTATGAAGGTGGATGAGATATCCCTAGGCACGATTTCGGGACGATGTGGAGGTTCGTGGCCCGAGAGACACAGAGAGCTCGCTTGTAGCTTGCCCGAACCTTCTCTAATGACCAATTGTCACCCCTGAGCTTTCCCCAGGTTCCTTGAACCTGTCTTTCCCCGGATTTCTCACACTCATCAACGCCCCCTCCCCCACAAACCCGAGTTTCTCTCTCTTTCTTGCCTCTGGCTGACTATACTTCCTTACAAACTTGGGAGCAATAGTCAGCTACAGACTTTAATGGGTTTCGACGCAGATAGTTCTGCTGGCGCCTTGCAGTGTAGAACCTGTAAGCGCAACTACAAGACACTTGATCACCACTCTCGATATGGGCGCTCACGTCAGTCATACGGACGCTGGGCCACCCTCTGTAACGTCAAGGATAGAGGTTCATCGTCTTCGTACCTATCATGCGGTAGGCCTCTTTTCATTGTTCGGTCGATGTAATCAGCGGTTAGCGAGAGATAATATATCTTCTATTCAAATTGAGAGGCGCAGAAAAAACAATCATCTAGGTGTGTATGTCCCGTCCTTTTCTCTGCTGTGTCCCAGGGAGAATCGTGGTTTGCCAGAAACTGTCTATAAACGGCTCTGATTGTAGAAGTAGTTGGTCTGGTTCGTTGCCCGCCATGCTTTGGAATTCTCCTGGCCAAGCCACTGAGGCTCCAGCTCGGAAATCTTGTCCTCCAATTCGGTAAAGTGATTCCTGCCAACAAAGACTGTCTTCCCATTCAACCTTCTGCAAGCGAGATAGGCCATGGCTTTCCCGACGTTGCTGGCATCGGTTATTTCAACTCGGTTTTCCTTTAGAACCTGCCGGATTTGGTCTTGGATGAGATTTGACTCGGCCATCCATGGCGCCACCACATTCACGGTGATGTTGAATTTCTCCGTGGTTGCTCTTAAGGATCTCATCAAGCCCACGACCTTATTTGTATTTCCATTGTTAGCATACTAGCATTTCAACAGCCAAGAAAAGTTGATGCGGCTTAGACGTACCCCGTGTTTGGCGGCATTATATGCTGGTATCAGCTTTTCTCCCAGGTACCCGGCAGAGGACGATGTCATTATGATGGCGCCACCACCTGGCTGTTTCCGCATGTGATGAATGCCTATCTTCACTGTATTTATGACGCCCTTCAGGTTAACGTCTATGACGGAGAGTTTCGGCTCCTGGAGCTCCCCTGTGGTTTCGTCCATGACGTCAAAGAAGACATCCTCGACCTCGCCGATTCCGGCATTTGCAACCACGACGTCCAGTGATCCGTGAAGTCGGACTGTCTCCTGCATGGCTGCGAGGAGGGTGGGCCATTTCGTCACATCGCAATAACAATAGACGGAACCCTCAAGGGACTTAGACGGTGGTTGTAAATCGGCAATAACCACCTTGGAGCCCAACTCTACGAATTGAGTGGCAGCTGCCAACCCCAGCCCTTTGGAACCTCCAGTGATGAAGACTGTCTTGTCCTTCAGACCAGTCAATGTCTTGGTGTCGATTAAGAACTCCATGTTTGGCGAATGTTTGGCAAGGACAAATTGAGACTAGTAGAAGCTGGTTGTGGAGGGTTGTTTGCTATCCGGAGTCGGGATAGCATTTGCTGGCTGCCGGGATTGGTCCTTTATTATGAGCCATTGCCAAGTCACTTCTCCACGCGGAAGCCTCTCCCCCACAGATCCCGCATCCTGCAATGTGGTTTCCCCGGATGCTGCACGGGTCGTTGATAAACTTGACTTGGACTCTTTATGTTTGTCTAAGTTGAACTATACATGAAGTCATTTCACAATATTTTAGTGACCACTGTGAGACTTTAACACAATGACACACATAATCGCCAACCCGGAGGCCTTTCTGGCCTTGAAGGGCATTACGATGGTTATTACCGGCGGCGCAATTGGGATTGGGAGGGAAGTTGCCATTGAAGCTCACCGTAAGGAGATTGTTTTTTCTCCCCCTTTCTCCTGTCGCATAATATTTGGAGAACAACACTAAGACAGCCCATAGGACGCGGAGCCAACGTGGTAATTGGCGACATAGCAGTGGAGGCAGGTGAGAATCTACAAAAGAGCCTCGACTCGCGATGCGTATTTGTTCGCTGCAACACCGCGTCTTACCAAGACCAGCTCTCCCTCTTCAAAGAAGCAAGTAGCAGATTTGGCAACATCCACGTCGTCGTCGCAAATGCTGCCGTCGTGGGCTATAGTGACTGTTTCGACGACAGCGATGACATTGAGGTCGAGCCGTCGATGCGGGAAGTGGACATCAACCTTGTCGGAGTCATGTTCACAGCAAGAATCGGGCTGCATTACTTGCGGAAGAGCGGCGGAGGTGATCTCATCATGACTAGCAGCATCGCCGGGTTCAAAGAGACGGCTTACTTGACCCCTTATGTGGCCAGCAAGCACGGGGTGATTGGGGTTTTGAGAGGCCTTCGAATAAATGCCCCAGAAGGGATCCGGATCAATGTAGTCTGTCCCTGGATGACTCGTGAGTAGCCACACTGCGGAGACATCTTACTGGCAATATGTGTTGACTGCGAGCAGGGACTGGAATGACCAAGGGCATCGAGGAGGGATGGCTCGAACGCAAGTTGCCGGTCAACGAGCCCGCAGATGTTGCCAAGGCCATTCTCATTTGCGCGACTGCCAACAGGGCGCAATCTCAAAAGAATCACCAAGGGATCAAGCTTCCCTTTCACGGGAAAATCGTATTCGTCGGTGGCGGAGAGTCGTATGAAATTGAGGATCGCCTTCAGTCTTTGGAGCCCGAGTGGCTGGGAGAGGAGAACAGCAGAGTATTGAAGCTGGGACAGGCATATTTACACAACGGAGAGACAAGTTGGGCCCATTAGGTAGATCCTGAGTTTTCATTGTAATTTGGTTCGTTGCATTCACGCGGAAGTGGGCGGAGGTTTTTGTGACGGCTATTATCCGTGGCTATAACACCCATGACGAACGGACCAAAGGACAAAACTAATGAACAAGCACGGGAAGAATAGCCATTGAGTAGATGCATCCGACTTGGTATGCTAGGAAGATGATTGTTGCTGCTTGTCCTCTGTGGGCATGTTATGGCATATCTGCGTGAGTCAAGATGAGGGGAATATCCTTATCCTAGTAACTCGCAAATACGGAATGAAACTCTAGTATAGCTGATAGAAAACCTGGTAATCATGTGATACAGTTTCACCATCCCCTCTTCATCGTAGCATAGCACATCGTAGAATACTAGTTCTACTTACCCCAGATGATGCCGCGCCCCATTTCTACCCCAGCTTTTCCCCATACGTGCCGCGTCTTCGAACTCGGTTGCAGACCTGGATGGGGAATTCCGATCGACCATTCATGCCCTACGCCGGTTGATAAAGGGGTCCTTCGATTGAATATAAATACGAAATGCAAACCCGTCCAACTTCCCCTGATCGGCACGCACTGTACAAGTCTAGTCTTCCGACAACTACCATCTTGGACAGCAAGATTTGCTATCTTTGCCATCATGGGCTTGGGTGTTCTTGAGTACACCAAGCTCGAGCATGTCCCGGGGACTGCCACTCTGAACAAGCTGCACGCGACACCAGACGACCACGATAATGTCGCCTCCCTTCGCGCCAACCTCAAGCGAGACCCAAAGAGCGGCATCATCCTTGTCCCACAGCCTTCCGATGATCCTAACGATCCATATAATTGGCCCCGCCGGAAGAAGGAGCTCTTCACCGTATCCTTCATGTTCGGCTGCGGCGCCGTGGGAGGTAAACGCCGCAATCCTCCTCTATCTGTTCCAACTGCTAACGCGAGATAAACAGCCGTTGGTCCAATACTGGGCCCCGCGTTCGTCCAGCTCTCACAGCAGTTTGAAGTTTCCCTCACGATTTGGAACATCGGGATGCAAGGAGGCCTGATTGGGTGCATTGGACTGGGTAGTCTGTTTTGGAACAGCTTGGCCGTCAAGTACGGCAAACGGCCAATTTATCTGTTTACGACCCTTGGGTTGATGGTTACTTGCTTTTGGGCCGCCGCTTCCAAGTCCTTGATTTCTCTTTTTGTCTCGAGGTTGTTCACTGGGTTTTGCATGGCCCCCCTTGAGGCCCTGGTGCCCGCCTCCATTGCTGACGTCTGGTGAGTACCCTGCGCCCTCTATCTACCCACTACGCGAGGCAACAATCATTAACTAACTCGCCTTGCACTACAGGTTTGTTCACGAGAGGGGCTTTCGTTCTTCCCTTTTTAACCTCGGCGTCCTGGGCGGTATAAACTTAGCTTCTGTCATCAGTCAGTCGAGATCAGTCCACCGCTACTCCTTCTGATAGCTAACTTACGATATCTCTTCAAGGTGGACCAATCATTGAATATGCAGGATTTCGCGCTACCTTGTACGCCATGGGCGGCGCTTTCGGTATTCATCTGATTATGGCAATCTTCTGGATGCCGGAGACAGCCTTTGCTCGCCACACACCGATAGCTTCGAACTCGCAGACCAAGGTGAGTTTACACCAAGCGTACTCTAAC